GGCTAGTCATAACACATAACTCATAAGTGACGATTTACCATAAAATCTTTGTATTTTTTCCAGTTTTGTGATGGGGTTAATTCGAACAAGGGGATACGGGGAGGTTAGTGGGCCCATATAATTATATAAAGATAATAACAATATCAAATTAAGATGAATAACAAATTTATTATATAACATCTAACTACAGTTACCAAAAATATATAAAAACTTTAAATAAGGATTAAAAGCAAAAGACATTATATTTTGAAACCCAAACTGCAAAAAAAGCGTTAAACTTAAAGACGAAAGATATAATTTACTCTATAATTATTAATGAAGTAGTAAACGATAACGGTTTTCTAATCGTAATAACGGGAAGTCATTACATGCAATAACCAAGGCTTTTCTGATGGTAAAATTATACAAGATAATAATTAAATATACTTTATTAATTTGGTAAAATTCAATAATGGTACACTGTTGATGTGATGCTATCGTTTTGCCTGGCCTATATAGCATTATAGATATCCCAGTTTAGCCTTCCAATCATCATATTTTGTGGTATCACTTGTTTCAGCTGTCGATCTTTACGTTATCATTTACATCAACAATATGTCTTCTCTAGTTCTATGTTCTTACACTTCAGCCAAAGAAGCCGTTAGACGAAGCACAGTAAACTTCCATCGTAGCATTTGGGGAGATCGGTTTCTCACTTACACTGAGGTCGGTATATTACTACAAATCTCCCATCTCACAAAGAAGCATTCTATTCTTTTTTTGTTCATGTTTCATGTTTGCATGCAGAGAGAGGATCAAGTTAGGGAGGAGCAACAAGCTAAAGAACTCAGAGAGGAAGTGAGAAAACAAGTAGTAGTCAATACTGTTTTCAAACGAACAAATGCAACATGTGAAGCTGATACAACTCATTGATGTCGTACAACGACTCGGTGTAGCACATCATTTTGAGGAGGAAATCGAGGAAACCTTAAACCATATTTTTGTTGCATATGGAGATCATTGGATTGATGATAGCAACCTCTAAAGCACTTCCGTTTGGTTCAGACTCCTGCGTCAACAAGGCTTTAATGTTTCAATAATTAATCACGTACCCTTGTAAATATAATGTTGTAGGAATTTTCAAGAAGTATATGGACAGCAAAGGAAACTTTATGGAATCTGTAAGAAAAGATGTTCAAGGCATGCTTTCTTTGTATGAAGTTGCATACATGAGGGTGGAAGGCGAAGAAGTTTTAGATGCAACCCTCAGTTTTACAACTTTTCAACTTAAAAACATAGCTAATGATCATATGTGCGATGATGTGTCTCTTAAGATTCAGATAGAACAAGCACTAGAACAACCGTTGCGCAAAAGGTTACCAAGGCTAGAGGCGATGCGTTACATACCCATCTACCAGAAAGAAGCTTCCCATAATGAGGCCTTACTAAAATTTTCCATGTTGGATTTCAATTTACGTCAATCCTTGCACAAAAAAGAGCTCAGCCATATCAGCAAGTACGTATGCTAACAACGTCTATAATTTTCTTTTTTGTGTGCTCACAAAAAGAATGAGACATTGATCTAACTAGTGTCCTTAGTTTGTTAATCCACAAATTTTAGTCTTCTCATGGGCTCACCTTCATGTGTCTAAATAGATGGTGGAAGAATTTGGATTTATAAAACAAGCTACCTTATGTTCGTGATAGATTGGTAGAAGGCTACTTTTGGATATTGGCAGTCTATTTTGAGCCTAAATATTCTGATGTACGGATCTTTCTAATGAAAACATGTAATCTTGTTATCATATTGGATGACACGTATGATAACTATGGTACCTACGAAGGACTTGAGATCTTTACCCAAGCTATTCAAAAGTACGTGATATGCATTTATTTATAGTTAATGATACATGCAATAGTTTCTCATAATATTTTAAAACGACATATTAATCATCTTGACGAATATAGATAGTCCCCAAGCTGCATCGATACACTTCCGGAGTACATGAAAATCATATATCAAGAACTTTTGGACCTTCACAGAAAAGCAAAAAGGTACTAGAACTGAAAGGAAAAGCATATCACAGCTACTATACTAAAGAGATGGTATGTAATATGCATATTAGTTATTTGTTTTTAAATTATAATTCTCCTACTTTTATACAAATTCAACTCATTATTAAAATAATAATCTAATTAATCATCATTTCACTCATTTGGCAACCAGGTAAAAGAATACACTCGGAATCTCATTTGGCAACCAGGTAAAAGAATACACTCGGAATCTCCTAATCGAATCGAAATGGGCAAAAGAGGGTTACATTCCTACAGTAGAGGAACACATGTCGGTTACCATGGTAACATGTGCTTACGGCATGATATCGCAAAAAGTTATGTGCATGGCGATGATTTGGTCACTGAGGATACGTTCAAATGGGTGGCCACCTATCCTCCTCTGATGACAGCTTCATGTTTGATTTTAAGGCTCATGGATGATATTGCTACCCATGAGGTGCTTTAACTTGCACATATATATATATATATATATATATATATATATATATATATATATATATATTATATATATATATATATATATATATATATATATATATATATATATATATATATATATATATATATGGTTAAGTTCAAATCAAAACACTATTTAATGTGAGAACGTGAGAACACTACTTTATGTTACTATTCTACAATGAATTTAATATTTATAGTATTGTAGTAATTATAATATGAATATACTTAATTTTATATTGCTATTCTACTATAAAAAATAATATATATATATATATATATATATATATATATATATATATATATATATATATATATATATATATTATATATATATATATATAGTAATTTAGTAGATTCTAATGTGAATGTAAAATATGTGATTATTCATATATTCGGTGATGAATAATATCATAAAGTTGTATATACAAAATTTTAATATGAATATTAATATTTAAATATTCGTATATTTGTTGATAAATAATGTCATATGGTTGTATATATAAAATTCATAGTAGAATAGTAATATAAAATAGTGTTCTCACGTTCTCACATTAAATAGTGTTCTCATTTGAACTTAACTATATATATATATATATATATATATATATATAACCCGTAACAAAAACGGTTAGAGAACTAGTTAAATTTTCATAATAAAGATTCATAATTATTAATCAATTATTTTAAATAAACCATTAATTAAGAAATATGTCAAAATTTTAAAGTTATTATAACTTCAAATTTAATATATAATTAGAAGAAGTAAATTTGAATTTTGTATTTATTTGTCTAATATATCTCCATGATATTTGATATAATATTAATGAGGAATTGTATTAGAGTGACACATTTCAAAAGAAGATTAAAACTACTTTTTAATTAGAATATATATATATATATATATATATATATATATATATATATATATATATATATATAGTTCAAATGTTTCTCACATCTATTACGTGCTATATTGCAACAATAAGAATTTAGTGAAAATTAAATTATTTTTTAATCAAATAAAGATAGACATTAAATGATTTGCATAATTATATGCATATTAAATGATATCCATAATTATAATTCTTTTTTATAGAAACTAATAAATTTGTCATTAATATCAACAATGATATTGTTTCAAAATGAATTCGCATCTAGTTTTTCATGTATGGGTTCGTATTTTGTTTTCCTACTCACTCACTCGGAATACAACAAAGTAGTTTAGAACATGGAGAACAAGAGTGTATTATAGTAGAATTAGAGTTTATTCTAAAAGAATGATAGTATATTCTAACAGAATGATAGTGTATTCTAGTAGAATACACTCTCATTCTTCACATTCTATGCAATTTTGTTGTATGTTAAGTGAGTGAGTCCATAAATAAAACACAAACTCATACATGAAAATCTAGATGCGAGTTCATTCTGAAAGAATATTATTGCAAACATTAATGATTAATTTAATTACTTTCCATAAAAAAAATAATTACAATTATGGATATCATTTAATATATATACAATTATGGATACATTTAATTAAATAATTATTTAATTTTATAAAATTTCTATTGGTTCATTCTAGCATACAAAAATGTAAGAAACACATAACCCTAGCTATATATATATATATATATATATATATATATATATATATATATATATATGATGTAATTTTTTCAATGCCACAGGAAGAACAATAAAGGAACCATGTAGCATCTAGCATCGAGTGTTACATGAAGCAATATGGTGTCTCAAAAGAGCAAACACGTGAAATATTCTCAATACAAGTCGAAGATTCATGGAAAGTTGTAAATCAAGAGTCTCTCAGGCCTACTAATATACCAAGGCCTCTACTTATGCCTCCACTCAACCTAACATGAGTTTGTGATGTATTGTATAAACACGGTGACGATTACAATCATGTTGGAAAGGAAATGATCCACATTATTGAATCACTTTTGGAAAATTCTATGAGTTTATAGGTTTAAGTTCATAATGGAGGCTCTTAGCTATTGTTATTCCAACTTGCATTAGAAATAAATATGTTCACGATATTGTTAATAAATGCATTTGAAATGATATCTTTATGTTTTTAGTTAGTAAGTTTGTAACGCCCCGTTCTTAAAGTATTTAATTATGAGTCCCTGAGATTTAAGAGAAAGGGGAGTGTTTGTCCTTTTATGGGAAATGGGTTTTATCCGAGAAGGTTTCGGACTGGTGTATGTTGTTAGAAGCATAGGGCTTCTCGCCACCCTCATGTGAATGTAAAGTCTATTAGGAGCGGGTTTAGAGTAGAGGAGTTACGGCGTTTTGAAGATGATAATTGATTATAGCTCTTAATGGAAAAATGGAAAAGGTTCCATGCATGCATGGCATGCATGCTTGAAAATTTGGCTGGGTACGCCCAGCATAGTGAGGGGAGAGATGCGAGGGGGGGGGGGGGGGGAAGGTGAGTACGCCCAACGTACTCTCAAAAACCCCAAACTCTAATTTTAGGGTCAGCCACTATATAAGAAACATGTTGATTCATACCCTAGCCTTCATAAGCTCACCCTTAACCTCAGAAACCCTAGAAACCTGTATTCCCTCCATTGTTGGATGTGTTTAGTCTTGGAAAGCTCGTTTAGGCAAAAGAAAAGCTAGAAAAAGAAAGGAGAAGTTGTCAAAGAAGGAGAGGAACGATTGGAGCTTGTAGATCTGGAGAGATATCACCCTTTAGAGCTTATTTGAGGTATAAAGTTTCTTGCTTGTCAATTATTTTTGCATAGATCTAAGTGTTGTGAAGTTTTAGCATCTTTCTTGTCCCAAAAGTCCTCATCTTGATTCATGCTTTGTGTTGGCCGATATTATCTGTCCTTTCAGACCTTTGGAGAGGTTTTGAGTGACAAAAATGAGGTCCCAAGGGTTGTAGTTGTTCCATGTGTGAGATATATAGGTCTTAATGGATTAAGACCTTGGATCAAGAGCTTTATGGACGTCCCAAGTGATAAAGTTTGAGATTTTATGAATCTTAGGCATATTTGGCCTAGGGATCTGAAGTTTGGGCTTAAGAGCTTAAGTCAATAAGAAGTTATAAGGACTTAATGAGTGGCAGGGTTACGCCCCGCGTAGCGGGCCAGTGTCCCAATCCTCAACTGCGATTCAGCGTGTACGCCCCGCGTACCAAGGAGGGTATGCCCAGCATACTCCCCCTTATTGGAATTTGATGTTGGGCCTTAGAGTTTGGGTCGTTTGTGGGTTGTTGGTTTATGGGCCATGACTGGAAATTATGGATAGAGTATTTTAGGCCCAGTTATTGTTATGGACCTTGGATTTAGGCACATTTAGTGAGGTGGGCCCAATTTGGTAAATTGGGCCAATATTGGGCTTTATATAAGATTTGGACTTTGGCCTTGGCCCGATAAGTGGATGTATGATTGGCCTAATGTGTATTTGTGCTATGTTGGCTAGTTTCGGATTTGCGGTGAGTTGGTGATTCGAGAATCTGCTTCTTCATTTCAGAGTATCGGCAATCGTGAGGTGAGTTATCCTCACTATATTGACAGGGTCTAAGGCACCAAGGTCGGCCTTTATCGGATTGAGATCCGGGTATTTGTTGTTATGTTATTGCTTTGATATGTTTGCATCCTGGTAGCTAGGATGGTATATGTTAGAGATTTGGTTAAGATCGGTATCCTGATATGTAGGGTGATGCTATGCTAGTGACCGGTTAGGTCGGTATCCTGGTTAGGATGATGATATGTTATGTGATCTGTTCGATCGGCTTGTTGACTGTGAATTGTTATATGATTGTATCTTTATGTGCACATGGTTGTTTGGACTGGCGTTGGGTTGAGGCGGGTCCTGCTTTGTGCTGTAGGCCAAGATACCTAGGGCGGACCGGTTGTTCCAAAGGCCTAGCGAGCGATCCTGATAGACTGTAGGCCCCACGAGGGCGGACCAGACGTGCCGAGGCTCAGAGAGTGGACCAGGCCGACTAAAGGCCCGATGCGGGCGGACCAGTCAAACTGTAGACTTAGAGAGTGGACCAGGTGGGTTGAAGGCCCGGTGCGGGCGGACCAACCACACTGCGGACTCGAGGGACATTACTAGATTCAGAGGGTGGACCTGGTGGACTGAAGGCCCGATACGGCGGACCAGTCACACAGTAGACCCGATATGCATGGTTGTTCTGTGATCGGTTATGATATGATATGTTATACGTGTATGGTATATGTGGTTGGTATTTTGGGGGTATCTCACTAAGCTTTCAGGCTTACAGTTGTGGTTTAATGTTTTCCAGGTTCTTCAGGAGACCGTGGCAAGGCGAAGGCGTGATCGTACAGCTCCTCGTGTTTATGTTTTATGTTATGTTTCTAGGAATACTCTGATAATAAATGTATTGAAAACCTTTTTGTAAAAACTTAAAGTAATTGGGTTGTTTTGAAAAGTTAAAATTTGTTGAAAATTTTGGTCGTTACAAAGTTACTACATAAGGTATTTAATATATTGGGTTAGAAACCATATATTATATGGACTGAGTAAATAAAATTTAAAATAGTTAGCGATGGATATTACCAAAATAAAATATATTTTTAGATAAAATATGATTGAAATTACAAAAAAAAAAAAAAAAAAAAAAAAAAAAAAAAAGTAAGATGGGCCCAAAGCGTTTTACGGTCATATAAAGAGCATATTTTTAAGATTTACTTCCTTGTTTTCAAATGAAAACATCAACCAAAAATTCTTTTCAATAATAGCATTATACTTTCATTTTTTGTTTTGTTAAAACATTATTACAATTGAATGGATTTCTTGAAGTACAATGTTGTCATAGGAAAAAGAATTTAAATATGATTTTGTATTTATGTTAAGTAAAATTATGTTTTATTTAATCAGATTTTGGAAACATTCAAAGTACACTGTTATTTCTTACATGTTGCAAGATAATAGATTGTGTGTGTTGTTGTGTGTCAAAAATATAATTAGCAATAAAGGTAGTTCCAA